TTTTTTGAGGCAGGATCTCACTATGTAGTTGAGGCTGACCTAGAACTCACTATGTAGCCCAGCCTGGTCTCGAAGTCACAGCGATCCTCCTGCCTCAGGCTCCAAAATGCTAGGATTACAGGCGTGCACCACCACACCTGGCTATATTAATTTATTTTCTATCTCTTTGGACTTGCCTATGAAATAGTTTTACGCAGAACATTTAATTTCATCAATTAGGAGTTTTATAGACAAAGTATAAACTTTTGATCTCAATGTCTGTATTTCCTGATTCATATATTAGTTTATCTCATTGAGTTTTTTTTTTTTTTTTTTTTTTTTGGTACTGGGGATCAAACTTGGGTCCATGAGATTGCAAGGCAGGCAGCATAGTACTGAGCTAAATCCCCAGCCCTATCTCATTAAGTTTTAATTACATCTCATCAGTTTTAATTATAATGGTCAATTTCATACTTTATTCCAGATAAAATGAAAGATGCCATCATAGCTAAATTGGCTAATCAGGCTGCAGATTACTTTGGTGATGCTTTCAAACAGTGTCAGTACAAAGACACTCTCCCCAAGGTCAGTTACTGCTTAATAAATATGTGGTTATTTTGCATGTGAAAATATTGTCCCCAAGAAGCAAGTTGAAAACTATGCATCTTAAGAATATTTGAAATTTTAATAGAAACATTTGAAGAATATGTCAGTAGAAATAGTTTTTGAATTTAAGATGCATGAACAGTTCTTTTATATTTAGGGGATGCCTTTGCCTTTACTTTTTACTATACTATGCTTTTCCAAGCTAAAACTTTTTCTGAAAAACTTTCACTATCTTTTCAATAATTTAATCAAATAAAGGCATTGTGTCATTCTGAATCATTGGTGATTAGGTATAAGCATGAATACTTGAACATGTTGATTATTCATATTTTTAATTACTGTCCTGTTTTCTTAAAGATGAAGTCTTAAAGCGCATAAACAGACAAGGGAAAAGAAAACTTAAATTCATCCTATACTTTGATTAGTATTAAATTTTGCCAACAGGGTAGCAAATTGGGCTGCTAAAGGACAGCTAAGGAAAAGCAACCATCTTAAACCCCATATCACAGGAAGTATTATGTTTAAATGTAAATTTCTTAAGTGGCATTTGAAAAGACTGATCAGGGATGATCATTTGTAAATGACAAAACAGGTGATTAGACTAACAAGTTACACTGGAATGGTTAAAAGGAAAAAAAATTGAATGAAATATAGGTTTCAGTTACTGTCTTTCAGAAATGTTCAAGGAATAATTTTTTTCTTTTCTTTTTTTTTAGGAATAATTTTTTTTCTATATGGTAGATACTATTTGTTACATGGGAAACATTTTAATAGGGGAATTAATGAATTTATAAGTCACATTCAGAAATATTTGTAAATTAGACATTTGCAGAGAGCTTTAGGGGTAAAGATATACATAAGTACATCGGAAGTACACTTTAGTGAGAAGATGAACAGTAAGGAATTATGTGATGATTCCTAGAAATTTAAAATACACCAAGAACCTAGTAGAAATTTTCCCAGAACTCTTGGGTTTTAGTAGCATTACTTTTAAAAAGAGACTTGGGATCTCTTCTCACCTTTTTTTCATCTGAAAGACCTCATGTTCAGCCGCACAGTGTACCGTTACATCCTGTTGGGCCATTAGTTCAGTCCTGTTACAGAAAGAAGAATGTCTTCTACAAAGACTTGGAAACTACCTCTGCAGCACTCCTGGTATTCTTTGAAAATCTCCTGTTTAAGTACCAAGTTACTCCAGTCTTACCTTGAGTACTGGCATGAATGCAATTTGAGATTTAGATGTTGTTATTTCCTTTTTACTAATAAAGCTCATAAGATATTTTCATATTCTAGTTATAAAACTGGAATATCTGCAAGTAGTGATCCAGGAAGCTAGGAAATTATTCACTGGGAGACAGAAAAACAATCAAGGTAGTAATTCAGTTTTTGATTCTCTTATATTTTTGTCTAGACAGTGATTGTCTAGTATATTTCTTGGATTTTTAAAAAAATGTACTCCTAAAAACAGTGAGGTTATAGGCTAGGATTTGGCATTTTGGAAGAAATTTTATCAAATATAATGGCTATTCTGGTTCATATGTTTGGATTTTTAAAATTTTTGATGAATTGTTTTGAAAATAAATTAGAGATAACATTTTATCATATCATTAGCTGTTAACTTACTAGTATATTTGTGTGTCTGTGATGTGTTTTTGAGTACATGCTACTGAAATATTAGTGTTTATATGGTGACAAATCATTTTTGTATGGCTAAAAATACTAAGAAATCTCTTAGCACATGAATTTAAGTGAGAACTTACTTTGCTGTCTTTTGTCTTTTAAACATGAAACAGTCAGCTATAGAGCAGTTTCATTAGTATATGTGAGTAATGGTGGTTTAGTTTACTCTGAGGGCTGGGTAAGGACTCATGAGAAAGCTCTAAAGGCCTGTGCTTGGTATTCCACTGAATGTCCATTCTACTTCTCTTTCTAATGCATGCTTTCCTTTCTTTCTTGTAAACAAATTGCTGACTTCATGGCTTAATTGAAGTGAATTTGAAAAACCTAAATTGGCTTCAGTTAACAGTTTTTAAAAAACCCCTTAATTTTAATTGAAAGAAGAAAAATGCACTCATAGAATTCAGTCCCTGCAAGATCATGTGGTCTTCTCTGTTTACACCTAATGACTAACCTGTCGCTAAATCATTAATGGGGTGATTCTAATTTCTGTCTCCTTTTCCTTTTTCTTCCTGCGTCCCATGTTGTCTGTGATGGTTTGTTTGGTTGGACTTTCCCCTGGTCAGTATTTTTATTTCCAGGAGGTGTTCCCTGTCTTGGCTGCAAAGCACTGCATCATGCAGGCCAACGCTGAGTACCACCAGTCTATCCTGGCGAAGCAGCAGAAGAAATTTGGGGAAGAAATTGCAAGGTTACAGGTGAGTTTCTTGGTAATAGTTAGGTAAGTTGGTTCTCTGCTTTTTTCCTAGTGGGATTTCTAGGTCAACTTACCAAAGCATTTCCCATTTATTGCTCCTGTTGTCAGAGGTGAGCACGTTTTCATTTTTAGGCTTTTCATACTGTTTTTTTTTTTTTAAAGTCGTATGTTTTATCTAAAAATGGATATAAAGTTTTATTTTCAGTTCTCTCCTATGTTTATTTTAATGTAAAATACTGTAAATTAATTACCATGCTCCATGAAGATGTGTAGTGCTTAACTGGTGCCTGTCCTTTGTGGTGTGTATAATTCTGCGGCCTCAGAAGGACTGAGATTTACCCCCACCACCCCCAGTAGAGTACCTTCTATGTAGATATAACCGTAATGTTGGCATTGTGGTTGTCAGAAACTTGCTGTGATGTGTGGGTCAACTTTGCAACAGGGCCAAGAGTGTTTATATGAGTTATGTTTTGAGTCTTGGTACAGTAAAGGATAGGAAGAGGACTGTTAGAGGAATTCATATATGGATTGGATATTAGAAGAAATAGAACTGTTATTTAGAAAGTTTAGTTTTTTGTAAGAAAACCTATATGGACAAAACTAGAGGTAGTTTTTTTTTTTTAAATGAAATCTAGGTTTTCAATTGTGTCTGATTTTTCTAGGAATTCAGAGTTACTATAGTAAGGTACCTTTGTACATAAAAATGCTTCTGAGCCAGGAATTTCTGTGGGAGAGAATTTTTTTTGATAGTTTGTTTCTTTTGGTACTGGGGATTGAACTCAGGACATTGGGCTTGCAAGGCAGGCGGTCCAAATAGTGGGCTAAATCCCTGGCCCTGGAAGAGAAAATTTTTTTAATTGAGTTTATTGGTACTTTTTAGGTATACAGTGCAGTTACATTCATCATTGGGATCTTGTACTTTTACATGACAGATCTTGGTTCTCATTTTTCCCCCATACCCCTGCCCTCTCTTTACCCCCTCCACCCTTCCCTATTTACAAATTCTTTGTTTCCATTTTTTCCTTTTCTCATATTTTTTTTTCTTTTATTGAGTTTATTGGTAAAGTATACAGTACAGTTACATTCATCATTGGGATCTTGTACCTTTACATGACAAATTTTGTTTCTCATTTTTCCCCCATACCCCTGCCCTCTCTTTACCCCCTCCACCCTTCCCTATTTACAAATTCTTTGTTTCCATTTTTTCCTTTTCTAATATTTTTTCTTTTATTGAGTTTATTGGTAAAGTATGCAGTACAGTTACATTCATCATTGGGATCTTGTACCTTTACATGACAAATTTCGTTTCTCATTTTTTTCCCATACCCCTGCCCTCCCTTCACCCCTTCCACACTCCCCTATTTAAAAACTTTAAAAAAAAACAACTTTGTTTCCATTTTTTCCTTTTCTCATATTTTTTCTTTTCCCTATTTCTTTTCCCCTACCCTTCCCCCTTCCCCTACACCTTTAGCCCCTTTCTTCCTATTTCTCATTATCATTTATACAATTTGGATCTTATGTACACTTTTAGTTGATCACACCAGAGAAACTAGTGTATTTATACCAGTATTTATACATGTGTGTCCTATGTGGTCTCAATATGCATCCATTTTCCCATGAATGATTCTAGTTTCTCATTCTTTATGGCTGAGTAGTACTCTGTTTTATAGAACAGCCACATTTTCCTTATTCGGTCTCCAACTGATGGCCAGTTGGGCTGTTTCCAAGTTTTAGCTATTACAAACTGTGCCACTATAAACATGGGCGCATATGTATATATATATATAGTATGATTCTTTTGGACAGATACCCAGTAGAGGGATAGCTGGGTCTAATGGAACCTCTAATCCTAGTTGTTTGAGGTGTTTCCATATTGATTTCCACAGTGGTTGCACCATTCTGTACTCCTACCAACAATGGAGAAGGTTTCCTTTCCTGGGAGAGAATTTTTTTAAGGCCAGCATATTTAAATTATTAGAAATTAAATTTTTTATTTTCTGGGAATTCTGGGGCTGTTAGATTTAAGGGACTTATTTAATTTCTATAAACCAATCAGAAGATAACTCCTTTAATGTTAATCTAATTTTTAAATGCTCTGTAGAAAAAGAAAATTATTTCAGCAAAGCAAACTAACTTTTTGATTGCATACAAATGAGAAACAAGAAAATCCTGCTCAGGGAAATGAAAACAATAAAATGGAAGCAAAGGTAAAATCACTGCCTAGGTCGCTTCTGGAGCCAAGAAAAATTGTACCTGAACTTAATACAACTTCCAAGTTGTACTTCTTAGATAATGGAGTTTATTTGGCTACAGAAGATAGATGTTTTTGCCCATGATGGAATTTCCAAAGTAGCCAAAGTAGTTTTCAGAAAGTTTTTAAAACACACAGATATGTAGGTGAGTTATGGCTGGGGGAGGGGGGACACGGATCCCAGCACTCAGGATGCTGAAGCAGGAGGATTGCTGCAAGTTTGAGTGAAGCTTGGACTACCTAGTGAGTTCAAGGCCAGCCTGAACTACAGTGATACCCCGTCTCCAAAAACTAAGCCAAACCAACCACCTGACTGACTGGCCAAACAAAAAACCAACCAAACAAAAGTACAAAAAACTAACAAAAACATAGATAATGAAGATATGAAAACAAGATTGAGAGTGATTATAGGTCAGATTTATTTAACTCATTATTGAAGGCCCTTGCAAGATGTTAAGTTTGATTTTGTTTGTTTTGTTTTGTTTTTTGAGACAGGGTCTCACTATGTAGTTGAGACTGACCAGGAACTCACTATGTAGCCCAGGCTGGTCTTGAACTCACAGCGATCCTCCTGTCTCAGCCTCCTGAGTGCTGGGATTATAGGCGTGCACCACCATGCCCGGCTTGATTTTGTGATTGTATTGTTCTACTAGTTAAGACAGTAAGTTATAGGAAGTTGACTTTATTAAGCAATATGTGCTGAGGTATTTAGGAGTGTTGGGTCATAATATCTGAACTTTAGTTTCTAATGGTTCTGCATAAAAAGGTACAAGTATATATGTATGTATGGGAAGTGAGAGATAAAGCAAATATAGCAAAATGATAACAGTTGTTGAACCTCAGTAGAGGGCATACTGTTACTTATTCTATTCTTTCAGGTTTTGTTTGTTTTTTTAGTACTGGGGATCGAACTCAGGACCTTGCGCTTGCGAGGCAGGTGCTGGCACCACTGAGCTAAATCCCCAGCGTCTTTTATTTTTATTTTATTTTTAAAATAAAAATTGGGAAAATATATAGGTACATATTGTAATCCTGTCCCTTCTTCTGTCTGTTCCCTCCATTCTTTTTCCCTATGAATAATTTCTTTTAGTTTTTGTTTAATCTTTTTAGCATTTTTTCCCTTGAAAATAGAAGCAAAAAATATCTGTACACAAACATAATGTAAATTCTTAGCTTTCCTCATTATCCTAGATATATCTTGCTTTTCTCATGGAAGAGTGTATCTTGAAGGTCTCTATTTCACTGTAGCAGTAGAAAGGTATCATTTTTCTTTGAATCTGTGTTGAATTCATATAAATTAAATGATAAAGTTTATTGCCATCTTCTGCTGCTGGATAGCTGTGTGATGTCCTAGTTTGGACTGCCATAATAACAAAGCATACACAGGGTAACCTGGACAATATAAATTTATTTCCTCAGTTCTGGAGACTGGAATTCCAAGGTAAGGTATCAGCATGGTCTAGTTTGGGTGAGGTTTGCAAAGTCTTTTTTTTTATACATGGCAAAGAGAGAGAGCAAGATCTCTGATGTCTCTTATATGGGCCCTGGTTCCATGTGAATGCCCACTCTGGTTTTATTATCTCCCAAAGGCACCAACTCCAAATGTATCACACCTGAGGTTGAGACTTCAAAATACAGATTTTGGGGAGAACAGTTTATTCTGTTACAATAGATATATCTTAAAATAGTTCTGTAGAAATGGGATTGCTGATAATGAAATATAAATACATCTATAATTTGTTTCATTATGTTTGGATTGTTGATCCACTTGGGCTTTATTCTCATGGGTGATGTGAGGTATGGATTCAACGTTTTTTCCCAAATGGCTACCCATTTTTCTCCTAAGCCATTTACTGTGAGTTTCATTTGTTCACAGATACGAGATTCTGACTTTATCATACATTAGAATTAAAGGTTGTTTATGTTTTAGACTGTTTTAATGCTTGATAGATGTTCTCATCTCTTATCTTCTGAATTCTCTTAACTGTTCATACTTATTTCTTGATTTTTAAAATTTTCATATTCTTGCTGGTTTACATTTCTTCATACGAATTTTATTTTGTTTAACTATATTGGAAAATTTCAGATATTTAAATATGAATCATAACTCTTCATTACCTAGCTTCACTGACTTGTCAGTGTTTGCTGTTTTGTTTCATTGATTTCCTTTTTTGTGTGGTGGACCTCAGTTTATCTCACATGGGATTTAATCTTTAAGTACTTTAGTAGATAAATACTAAAAATAAATAAATCCACATTACAGTGCTGTTATCTAGCTATGTTGATAATGTTATGATTTCTAAAATATCTCCCCAGAGTTTCTTGTGTTTGGAAAATGATTGGATCAGTAGCTAAATGTGCTATTGGGAGGTGAGCTGGTTAGAGGTTGGTCCCTGTGGGTGGACCTGAGAAGGTGTGTTCTTGTTAGTGGCTCCTCTCTTTCTTTGGTTTGCCTTTTTGATTGCCAGTGTTCCTCAGCATTTTCCGTCCACCATGCCATTCTGCCTTGAAGCCAGCCAAATATGGGTTAAATCCTCTAAAAATTGTGAGCCAAACTAAACTTCTCCTCCTATAAATGATGGGTGTTGGGTATTTTGTCCTAGCAATGGGAAAATAACACAAATGTGAATTAATAATATCCATGACTCCATATTATCCAGATATTTTCCCAAGTGTCTTGGTTTGTTCAACCAGGATAGATAGATACAAAGTCTTCACATCACACTTGTTTCATATGTCTTTGAAAAATTTTAATTTTAGCAGCCACTTCTCAACTGTCATGTTGACATTTCTTTTTCTTCATGTTTTTATGATTTCTGTGATGTCTTTTTGCTCCTTTTAAAAATGTTTTGGTCTTTCTAAAATGAATTTGTATTTCTCTTCACTTTCTTTGCTGAGTTGTCATTTCCCATTTCCCATTCTCTGCTCTCTAGCCATCACCAGCTGATGTCTGGGCCATCTAGTTCTCTGTTCACACTTTGTGTTTTTGGTACTATGATTGCATTCATAAGTTTTATTTGATTTTTGTTTTCTAGCATGGTGTTTTAATCTACTTTGTGGCAATGTTTCTTTTGTGAGTTCATTATTTATTAAAAAGTTATATATTACTGCTCATTTTCATCACAGTTTTTGAGGCCAATGAGATACCTTTTCAGTTACTTGTGTTAGAATGAGATTGATGATTTTCCTGGAGACTCCTGGGTTGGGATGTAAGCCTGGGATGGCTTTCCAGGCATCATTGTATTAAGGCTTCCTCTTATCCTCAAAACCTGAATGTACTTTAGGAAGGCTTTCTCTTCTGTATCGTATCTGTGCTTCGTATTGCTTTTCAAATTGAAGTGTCTAGTTTTAGAATTTGTCTTTTGCTGGCATTTTCTGAATGCTCACCTCCCTTTCTTCTCCTTCAGTCCCCTTTTTCAGTTCTTACTCTGCTTCCCCTAGAAACCTTGCTTTTATTTAGTCTCCTACCTGTTCTTAGAAGCTCATTTTGGGGTGAGGCCACTCAATATCCAATATTTCCTGTGACCTCTTAGTGGCTTTACCAGTTGGCTTTGCCTTTGTGATTGGCTGGCAGGTGTTTTTCTTTTTCATTGTTTTTAGATTTGATTCCAGCATTTCCCACTCAGAGTGGCATCCTCACCACTTCCCTTTAACTCCTGTGTATTCAGTATACATTGGGTTGTTGTGCCAGTTTTGTTGTTTGGAAAAATGATTGACAAATTTATTTATTTTTATTATTATTATTTATTTGTTTCGTGTTGTTTTAAGACAGGGTCTCACTATGATGCTGAGACTGACCTGGAACTCACTACGTAGTCCAGGCTGGTCTCCAACTCACAGTGATCCTCCTGCCTCAGCCTCCCGAGTGCTGGGATTCCAGGCATGTGCCACAATTTACAAATTTAAAAAGTTATGTTTTTCTATTTCCTAGTTCACATTAAAGATGTAGCTTTTGTTTTATTTTGGTTATTCTTTTTTTTTCTGGTACTAGGGATCGAACTCAGGACTTCGTCCTTGCATGGCAGGCACAGTGCCACTGGGCTAAATCCCTATTTTGGTTATTCTTGTTTCTTTATTGTTACATGTTGATCTGGCATGTTTTTCTAAATTTATTATTGTGTATTTTGTCTGGATGTTGCTACTAACAGTGGATTTATTTCCTTTGTTAACTTGTCAAATTGATGTTTTTTATATGTATTTGGTAGTTTGATTTTGGGCCTTTGGGAGAAACATATCCAAACCATAGCAAACACTGAATTTTATTAAATACTTTTTCAACATCCTATGGAGTTACTTGATTCTAACAAAATTTTTCTTTTACATTTGATCTTAACCAGAAGGCTGAGAAGCTATAAAACTTTTATTTTAGAGAAATGCATAAGTAGATATTCTAGTATTAAGCCATTTTTGTTTTGTGAGTGATATTTAGACTTGCTTTCTGTTTTAATCTGGTGTCATTGAATAGCTGTTCTCAATATGCATTAGAATATTGTGTATTCTATAATTGTGGAGCCCAGGGTTTTTCATATCTGGTAAATCAAACACTAATTGTGTTGTTCAAATATTCTATAGTCTCTTTTTTATTTTATCTTTTAGTTTTTGAGCTGGGGATTAAATTTAGGGCCTCATGTGTGGTAGACAAATGCTTTATCACTAAGCTATATCCTCATTTCCCAAATCTTCAGTCTTTTTGCTTACTTTATCAAGCTATTGCTGAGATGAGAGTGCTAAAAATCTTCCATTCTGATATGGTTAGATTTATCATTGTTTTCCTATAATTATTTATATAGCTAGGGACTGTTAAATATAAAATTTAAGAGGCTTTTATCTTTTGTACCAGGGATTGAACTCAGGACCTTGAGCTTGAGAGGCAGATGGCAGCACCACTGAGCTAAATCCCTGGCCCTGAAAAGGCTTTTTTTTTTTTTTTTTTTTTTTTTTTGTATTGGGGTGGGGATTGAACTCAGGACCTTGTGCTTACAAGGCAGGAAGCAGCACCATGGCGCTAAATCCCTGGCCCTGAATGGACTTTTAGAAGTCCTTTCTATGTTTATTTTATTTTACAGATGTAAACTGGTTGGGATAGCCTTTTTATTTTCAGTTTGGAATTTCAATAAACCATGTGTCCATTATGGGAAAATTATGTTAAAAATGTTTAAATGCCAGATGATTCCTTAATTCTGGTCCTTTTTAGTAAGTTTGGGCAAAAACAATCTATTTTCCAAAGTGAGTTGAGGGGCATAAAAAAGATTGATAATTAAATAAAGCAACCATTCATATAAAAATAATACCAATCAAGATGGTAAACAACACAGCTTAGTATTTCTAAGAATGATCAGTTACTTAAAATACCACAGTATTAGACAGTAGTAGACAGGGAGCAAATACTCTCCAAAACACAATTTTTTAAAAAACTAAAAACAACCCACTGGGGTATATTACTTTCTTGTTAATTCTTTTTC